TACGGTTCTTAAATGAAAACTGGTTTTTGGCAAAAATGCAAATCGTGGCCACACAATTGCGGGACATTGCAAATGGCCATAAATTCAGGCGGCTTGCTGAGTGGCCAAAATGTGATCACGTGATTTCTGGAGGCGGGACCGGTTGTTGTGACTTTGGAACTGAGTTGTATGTACGTCTGTGTGGGTCCCATTGTAACTTTGAACGGTCACAAAGCGACCAGTCATACATTGAGGACTACCTGCAATGTGTCAAGACAGAGGCCTACAGAGAGACCTTGAATTTAAAGGAAAATAAATAAATAGATGTAGTTATCATTATCTAAACTATGGATGATGTAGACCGTGATAAAAAAATCCTCATGCTCAAAAGCTCAGTGCTATATAGCAAAATTAATTGATTGATCAATTATCAATTAATTTTTTTGCTGAACATGACAAAATCTAAGATCCAGCGAAGCTGTATAAAGCCTAAAAAGGTTTCTTTTTATCCACTCTTTTAAAGTAGTCCTTGACTTACAACAGTTTCCTTAGTGACCATTTGAAGTTACAAGGGCAAAACAGAAAAAGTGACCATTTTTCACGCTTATGACCACTGCAGGATCCCCGTGGGCACGTGATTTACATTCAGATGCTTGTCAGTTGACTCACATTTCTGACGGTTGCAGTGTCCTGGGGTCCGTGTGATCCCCTCTTGTGACCTTCTGATAAGCAAAGTCAGCAGAGAACCAGATCCACTTAACAACAGTGTCACCAACTTAACTGCAGTCATTCACTGAACAAACGTGGCGAGAAAAGTCATAAAATGGGGCAAAACTCACTTAACAAATTTCTCACGTAGCAACATAAATTTTGGGGTCAATTTTGGCCGTAGGTTGAGGACTACCTGAGTTCTTCTTCTGAATAAAATGAAGACCAAAGTGATCCACGTTGCCTGCTTTGTTTTTTTCTGGCCGAAAGTCAAGTGCAGCCAAAGGAGACAGTGAGGACAATTAACCAGTGGAGTAGAAGTTGCCTTCAGAAGTTGTAGTAGATGCTCCGTCACTGGGTGTTTTAAAAAGAGACTGGACAATCACTCGTCTGAAATGGTCTAGGGCAGTGTTTCTCAACCTTGGCGACTTTAAGTTCTGTGGACTTCAACTCCCAGAATCCCCCAGCCAGCTTAAAGTCGCCAAGGTTGAGAAACACTGGTTTAGGGTCTCCTGCTTGAGCCAGGGGGGCTGGACTAGAAGACCTCCAAGGTCGCTTCCAGCTCCATTCTGATTCTTTGTTTTGTTTGTATGATTGGTTGGTTGACTGACTGAACTAATCAAGGAGAGAAACAACCTGGAATTAAGGAGAAATTTCGTAACAGTGAGGAATAATTAACCAGTGGAACAGCTTGCCTCCAGAAATTGTGGGTGCTCCATCACTTGAAGTTTTTAAGAAGAGACTGAACAGTCACTTGAAATGATATAGGCACCAAGTGCCAAAAAGGGAGCACTTTGCGCTTGTCTGGGCCATGAACAGGAAGAGGAGCTGCCAAGGGAGCATGTGGGCGCTGGAAAATGAACTTCCGGTTTCTGGCGCAGTCCTCTGGTTACTGCTGCGCATGCACCAATTAGTCATGCTGGAAAATGGAAGAGCAGCTCTTCCGGTGGACAAAGTCCAGCGTTGTCGCATCTGCCACTTTGGGCACGCATGCCATAGGTTGGCCAACCCGGCTATAGGATCTCCTACTTGGGTGGGAGGCTGGACTAGAAGACCTCCAAGGTCCCTTTCAGCTCTATTCTGATTCTTTGTCCTGTGGATGTGAGGAAGTCTCCCCACCTCCATCCCCAGCTGGGCATTCCTCCTCCTCCTCCTCCTCCAATGTAGCCTGAATGAGTCACAGGTGCCTTTTTGCAACCCTACCTGCCGGATGGGCCTCCTGAACAGATGGCTCAACAACATTATTAATAACCGAAATCTGAGCTCTCCCATTAGTCACTCAGGAAAGAGCCAGCTGGGAAGGAAAACACCTTGGCTGCATGGAGGGAGCAGATATGAATCACTTCTAATCAGGACACGGCTTCTGGGCCCAGGAAGGGGAGGGTGCCCTGCAAACGTTCCCCTCCCCCCTGGAGAAATCATCATCAGGCTGAAGGGAGACGATCTTCCCTGATTGCGCCAATGCAGCCTGCCGGTGGGTGGGTGGATTTTGGTTTGGGCTCCTCCATAACAGCCTCTGGGCTTGGCCACATGGCAGGAATGCAACAGCGGCATTCAGAGATGACTGGAGGGGAACCTGGTTGGTCCCCCCCACCCCACGCTTCCTCCACTGGAAGTAGAAAGTCTTCCGTANCCCCCCAAGGCAACCCTGCAATGCTAAGCCAGAAGTTTGAATAAACTGCCGTCTCCTTTTTAATGGAAGCAATTTTGTCCCTGGCTACTTCGGGTGCAGAAAAAAGATGCCACCTTTTCTCCTGCTGGCCAGAGATGGTCCTACGAACATCCCCAAACCAGGTTGCCAAGTGAAGAAACCGAGGCAGCTTCAAAGCTTCTTACCCTCAAGGGATGACCTTTAATTAAACATAATTTTCTTGGCAATCAAGATCTCTCAGCCATTTTCCATAAGAGATACAATCAAAATTAAATCCAGGGATATTAAAAACAATTTAAAAACAACAATTAAGAACAATTAAAACAAGCAATAAAAGCTCACTTAAAAAAAATGATTTAGGGCTCTTTACAAGCCAGGAAAAGATCAAATTTCTTCATCCCAGCATGGAGTCCCCTTGAGGGAGGCCTGTGGGGAGCTAGGACTGTCTCCTCAGATGTGTGGGGTGTGGGGGGGAGAATCGTGTAGGATCACCTCTAAAGAGCCTTTATTTTAAATAGGCTGGGCCTGAGCCAAATAATCAGTACTTTGGCTTTTGCCTGGAAACAATTTGGCAGCCAGCGCAATACTTTTGGCACAGGTGTAATGTGGTATCTTCTTCCAGAAACCCACCTGGGTGCTGAATTCATGCACTTGTGTCTCTCTGTTTGGTTGGCGTTTTTTTAAATATCTTTTTGCCACATGGTTTTATGGAATGTATGGTTGTTTGGTGACCCATACCTAGGTCATGTGCGGAGTGGACGGTTCAACAACAAACGAATACTGTGGTGTTTAAATGGTTGGCCAGAATTGGAAAGAGTTGCCTTCCACCACTGATATTCCCTGAGTGACCTTGAGGCAGTCATTCTGCTTTAGATCAATCTAATTCACAGGGAGGTTTATTCTGAGGGATTATTACTTTTGGGAGACCTGAAGGATTGGATTTTGGATTTTGGTCAACCTGATTGAGGTCTTTTTATGTGGTTGTTAAGAATTGACAGCAAGCTAAAATCTTCGGGTACAATATTGAATTGGAGCACTGGGAAAAAAAGTATAAATTGACAATGTCGGCATCATACAAGGAAAACATCTACAAAATGTTTTATAGGTGGCATTTACTCCTGGCAAAATTGGCCAAAATGTTCCCAAATAGATCTCCAAAACGTTGAAAATGTGACCAACAACAGGGGACCTTCTATCATATGTGGTGGACATGTCCAAAAGCCAAAGAATTATGGACAAAAATTCAAAAATGGTTAGAAGAAGTAACAGAACAAAAATTTGACATGAAGCCTGAGCTGCTGCTTCTAGGAATAATAAAAAGAAATATTAGTAAAGATATCCATATATAATGTTTCATATATTCATTGCTGCCAGAATCTCATTTGCCTAAAGCTGGAAACAAAAAACCATTCCCTCAAACGCAGAGATCATAAAAAAGGTGCTAGATGGATAGAATGCGCGGAAATGTACAAACTAACAATGGAATTAAGAGAGAGAGAGCAAACAGAGTACTACAAGATATGGAATACGTGATATAACTGGCTTGAAAAGAGATGTAAAATCAACGCATAAGTAATACATAGTAAACACAATAAAAGGAGATGGTTTATACTTAGAAAGCAATAGAAATGGAAATATTGCATATACACGCATATATTGTAAAAATGAGAAAGTATGAAACAAAGAGGAATATGTACAAGAAAACAGGTTGTAAAATGGAAAACCCCAAATTAGAAAAAAGAAATGGCAATAAAGGAAAGCTGTGAAAGTGTAATTGTGATTTTAATGTTTGGGAAATGCTGAATAAAAACACTTAAAAAAGAAGAATTGACTGAGCAGATAGTACATAATCAATCAGTCACTCTGTCTGTCTGTCAGCTTACCAGCCAACCAGAAGCGTTGTTCCTGCTATTATACCTGACACCAACCACAACCCGCATGCAACATAGCCAGGTTCTGAGTAGCTACTTGTAAAATCAGACGCACAGTAATTAAATTATGATCTGCTAGATAAGAGCGTGATGCTTAACTCAGTAAGTTTAGGATTGACTTACTTTTTCTATCATTCCCTAAATGCTTGTTTTAAGTTTCAAACTTTCTTTCATTAAAATTTCTCTTTTGTACTTAATACCTCCACTGCCCATCATATCTTTTCTCATTTAAGCTTTTTATCTTTAAATGTTCTTTTAGTGAAAATGACTGTTTTACACATACCGTTCCTTGTTTAATCTTTTTATTCCCCCCTTAGGCCTACTGTTTAATCTGCTTTATGTTGTTCAATGACTGCAAATTAAGATTGTCTTAGAATCATAGAATCCTAGGGCTGGAAGGGACCTTGGAGGTGTTCTAGTCCACCACCCACCCAAGGCAGGGATCCTAATTTAAAGAACTGGGTGTGATTTTGGTGGGCCAAGATTTCAGGGTCCTGTAATCAAAATCCATACAGCGCCAATTCTTTAAAATTCACGGAAAAGATTTTCCCTTCCTATGCCCCTTTGTGTCCTTCATAGGAGTGGACCAAGTGGGAGGCAGAGTGGCCTGCCAAAATGTTGAGAAAACCCCCAAGTTCTTCTAGAAATCCTCCAGATCCATCCAGCATCTGGTCAGATCATACTAAGGCAGGGGTGAAATCTAAAAATTTTGCCTACTGGTTGTGGTGGGGCGTGGTTTGTTGGGGTGTGGCTTGATGGTCATGTGACCAGGTGCGCATGGCCAAGTCACCATCACTTCTTTGCCCTTATGACCTACAAAAAGAAAATGTACCAATTATTTTGTGCTTTTAATACTTAAACAAGAATAATGACGAATACTGATGTAAGAATATTTACCTAAGAGCAATAAAAGCACCAATGATAATAATCACCTACAAAAAGAAGATATACCGTGATATACAAATTTAACCATTTAATACTTAAATAAGAATAAAAGAAGGTACACAAAACAATAAAAGAGGTACACCAATACTTACATAAAAATGTTAGTGGTTTTTCACTTTAAGATGTTTCCACATCGATTTTTCATTGGCGCTCTCCTCACTTCCACTTTTCTTGATCTTGAGTCTGGATCATCGGCTGAGTGATGCTGTTCTCGTAGCCACTTTCTCACTGCAGGAACAGGATCCCATTTTGGAAGAGGTAGGCCAACAGTGTTGATGGTCATGGGTTGGTTAAATTAGAAATGGTAAGGTGACTTCTGCTCTCTGAACATATGAAGTCGTCTCCACTGTGGAGGTCCAAGGAAACAACAATTACCATTTTGACCAGAAGGTAATTCGATCACCATAAAGGATATTTATTATTCCCCCATATCCAAATTAAATCATTTTTTAAATTTATTGTTTATTTATTTCATATATTTATATAAGGCAGTTCAACTCAAGTAATATGATTTTGACTGGCACAGAACAAAAATAAATTGATCCAAAAATAAAGCTACATCAGTAGAATCAACCTAATATACAGTATTAAATGGCAAATCAGGCAGGATACTTAAAATCTATTTCCATTCCATTCAAATGGTTGGGGAACAAAACTGTTTTTTTCTCATGGGAGATGTTCAAGGGTGCACGTCAGTGGTGGGTTGCAGGAGGTACGTCCCGGTATGGGTGTACTGGAGCCTGCCCGGAGCACCAGATACCGTTCCGATACGGTGCTCTGGAGGACCCACCCACCCTCCCAAGCTCCTTACCGGTCTTTTAAGTCTTTGGCACAGAGCATACAGCACCTGCGCTGTGCTCTGCTGAGCAGCTGGAGTGTCGTGGAGGCTCATGGAGGCAGTAATCCATGTGGACGCTGCCGGGCCCATTCCATCCCGGTTGGAACGGGATCCAGAACCCACCACTGGTGCACGTTGACAAACCCATGACCCATGACAAACCCACATTCACCATGGAGGTCACAAACTCATAAGCCACCAGGCATCAGTTCTGGGGATAGAGTTGAATTCTTCCAAAGTCATAGGCTTCGGGGACTCCAACGCCAGCCCTGAGCTGAGGGTCCTGGAGTTCACGAAAAGCTACAGTTGTGATCTTAAGAGTTGAGTACCAGCAATAGCATAAGTTTTTTTGTGCAGCTCAACTGAACATGTGGGCATTCAGAACCAGTCATCTCCCTAAAACCTTCCATCATGGTTCTGTAGAATTTGAAATCTGTATGGCATATTTCTAGTATGTGAGGATCAGAGGTGGCATTCAGCAGGTTCTGACCAGTTCTCGAGAACTGGTAGCAGAAATTTTGAACAGTTCAGAGAACTGGCAAATACCACCTCTGGCTGGCCCCAACCCTGATCTATTCTCTGCCTCCCGAGTCCCAGCTGATTGGGAGGAAATGGGGATTTTGCAGTAACAGTCCCCTAGAGTGGGGAGGGAATGGAGATTTTACAATATCCTTCCCCTGCCACACCCACTAAACCATGCCACACCCACAAAGCCACACCCACAGAGCTGGTAGTAAAAAGAAATGAATCCCACCACTGCACTACCCTAACATACCCTGCCAAAAATCTTTGTTGTAAACATATGAACATGTTTGAATTCTGTGAATTGTAATGTTCTGGAAATGGAGGTATTTATTAATCCTGTTGTGAATCCAACCACTGGCAGGGATGATCTTGAAGGATGAGGGGAGAGATGCTGCCAAGAAAAGTTCAGACAAGAGAGATGGGAGCCTCCAATTCAGAAGGCTATCCCACCCCTTCCCACACAAAAGATCAAGTGGTTAAAAGCAGTGGTGGAAAGTTTGCACCTTCAGACTTGCAGGAGTCTATTCATGTAGCCCTAGAATGAAGTAGAATTACTGCATTTAGCTGTATTTCCTGTCTTGTTTACCCAGAAGGCTGACATCAATTTTGCAACCCTGAAGATACAAATCTCCCACCATTACTTTTGGCTCCTTCCTAAAAAATTTCCTCTCACTGTTAAACCACTGGTGCTCCCTCCATTCTTGTCTGAAGGTTTCGTAGGGAGATAGAGCTTCGGTAGTACATACCAGGCCTGCACACTTATCTACTATTCTCTCATGAAGGGATGAGTGTTCATTATATATAAAGGTAAAGATAAAAGTTTCCCCTGCCGAGTTGCGTCTGACTCCAGAGGCCAGGACTGTTTCTTAGCTGAGGGAGCCATCATTGCCTGAATACATTTCTATGGTCATGTGGCCAGCATGGCTATACACCAAAGGCACACGGAACACTCTTGCCTTCCCACTGCAGTGGTACCTATTTATCTATTCAGCTTTGCATGCTTTCAAACTGTTAGGTGAACAAGAACGGGGCAAATAATGGCACCCCCGCCCTTGTGTGGCACTCAGGTCTCGAACTCAGGTTGTAAGCAATCCACCTGACAGGTTTCGCACCTTTAATTGCTGAGCCATCGTGCCGTGCCCTCTTATTACATAGAGACCAGGGGTGGGTTCTAGTTGGTGTTATTTCCGGTTTGCTTGTGTGCGTGCTTTGCACGTGCTGGATGAGCGCTGTGTGTGAATGCGCAGTTCAATGGAAATTGTTCTACACATGCGCAGAACTCCCAAAAAAGAGGAGGAGGCGGCGGCAGCGGTGACCAGGAAACTGGTTCAGGGGCGTGGCCAGCCTGGGTCTCTGCCGGTTCTGCAACCCAGGCCGGCATACCACTACCAGTTTGGCTGAACTGGACCAAACAAGTAGGAACCCACCTCTGATATAGACCCAGCAGCTACTGGAGAACAAGTTGTTAGGTGACCAGGGAGGAGGGCAAGTGAAACTGGCTTAGAACACAGACTACTAACATGCAAATCTCTTAATCTGCAACGGTTTTCTAGTGCCCCTCGTGGTACCTTCCAATATCTTCCACTGCTCCTCCTTCCCCAAGCCTGACAGATCTTAGCCAACATCATGCATCTCCACATCAGCACTGACTACCATATGCAGGACTACCATATCCATGTCCAGCGTTTTACCCAGCTCTTTATCCACAAGACCTCTTATGCAGAGGTGGCATTCCTCCGGTTCTCTCCAGTTCGGGCAAACTGGTAGGGGTGGCTGCAGGAGGCTCCGCCCACCTGCCCTGATGTAATGTGCAATGTTTTGCGCATGCGCGAGCACGCTCCATTTGCAAACCAGTAGCAAAGGTAAATGAATCCCACTAATGCCTCATATTTTTCTCTACAAACCTTTGAGTCTTCTAACCCTGCTCTTCAAAGCTTCTAGCAAATCTTTCGCAGTTTGTGCTAATAGGAAGGGGATCTTCTTCCTCTTCCATTTCCTCCTCTCCCCCCTCCTCTTCCTCTCAGTATGTACTGTTTAATAAGCTGAGTTTATATCCACATGAATATCACAGTAAGCAATGATTCCTCTAAAAGTTGGTCTATCATTATCAGCATTACTGCTTGATGACCGGTCATTAATTTCCTGACAATGAGAGCAATTAATCAATGGAACAGCTTCCTTCCCGGAGTTGTTTTCAAGAAAAGTTCAGACAACCATTTGTCTGAGATGGAATAGGGTCTCCTGGCTTGAGCAGAATCCATTCCAGCCCTACAATTCTATGTTTTTGTATCATGGAGTGTATCAAGCCTTATGACCCAGTTTTCACTTTTTTTTGTGAAAAGTGAAAGAACTAAAATGGAAAATATAAGAGATGCCAGGTTTTCTGACCAAGATACACACCAGTGAACAATCATATTGTCCCATCTTCTTCAGTAGACAATGTTCCCCTTAGCGAAGTGCAAAATAGTGGAAGGTTCAGCTGCAGTTTTTAACAGGAAGCTGAGAGTTGGGAGACACACCCTGTGTGGTCAATTTTATACGGAGGTGCGAATGCCACATTGATGAAGATGTCAGGCATAATTATGACAGTTGTATCCGACTACGGGCAGAAGTTTAAGCACCATCCAGTCTCAGCTGCATCATTCCATCTCTGCCTGCCTGAACAGCCTGGCTCTTTGGTAACCAGCACCATTGTGCCCTTCTGCCATCACAGCTGTCCCCTAACCCTGCAGTAGGCAATGCTGCCCTAGAAACAGAGGCCTCTCAACGGTGGAACATGCTGCTTTGAGAAAGAGCTGCGTGGCTTTTTCTCCATCTGGGGCCTTGGAAGAGCTGGCCTTTATTCTAGAAGTTGGGGGGGGCTCTGCATGTCTTCTAGAGTAGGGGACCCCAACATTTCTGGCTTGGTGGACTGGTAGGGGAAGAAGGGCCGGCTCCGTGTGAGTGGCAGTCACGAGCACAAGCATGCACAATTGCATTTGCACAAATGACGGGCACCCGTCTGCACCACTCACACCAATACAACTTTGCACGCAAGTGACCACCACTCACACATGTGGATCTGTGGCAGGGTTGCTGCTGGTGGATTAATGCTGGCATTACTGCCGGTTCAGTGCGCACACACCAAACGCACACTCTGTGCGCGGGTGCATTTGCACCTAAAAAGGTCTGTGCATGCGCACATTAGAAAAGGGGGGGAAAACCAATTTTTACAATGAGGGTTATTCTGCGCATGCGCAGAACTGAAAATCAAGATGCTGACGATGACGATAGAACCAGTTTGGAGAGATGGCAGGCTGAGTTACTACCTACTCAGCCGAACCAGTAGCAACCCACCTCTGAGCTGAGGGCACCTGTACATTTGCCCACTGCTTGCGGGGCCCGGTTCCAAATGGGTCGTGGCCCAGGGGTTGTGGACACCTATTCTAGAAGGTCCAAATTAAGACAACAGCAACCAGAGAGATCCGTTGTGCCCTGGAGGTCAGTCAGCGCGGGCATAGTTTACCAGAGCTTTTAGGACAAGGAGCAAAGACTTCACAACAGCACAAGCTGGAAGAATTTGTCCCAGAGAGGGGCCTATCCAGAGAATGCAGAATAACAGAGTTGGAAGGGACCTTGAAGGTCTTCTAGTCCAACCTCCCTGCTCAAGCAAGAGACCCTATACATCCTATAGGTGCCACTTCCTAGTGGGAAGTTAACAGTGTTCCATGATGTCATGCTGGCCACATGTGCTGGCTCAATGGTCTTATCAAAGCAGAGATGAGGAGCACTCCCCTGTAATTGGGAACAAGTGAAATCCGCAGGGACTCCTTTGTCTTTTTAGCACTACAAGTCATAATTTCTTCCCTAAATAGACCTTTAAGAATAGTGGGAAACTCCCCCCTCCCCCAAAAAAGAGAGATCTCTACCTCCATTTTAAGTCATAACGGAATGAGAAACTGATGCCCGGGAAGGTGGAATTAGCA